GGGAAAGAGACATTCTTCACTTGCAGAGCTAAACAGACAAGGCTTCCATAGAGGAGATATTCTGAGAAATGGATGCATTTTGTGTAAATGGCAGACATCTATCCCCTTTCAGCAATCAATGGAGAGAGTGGGCACCTCATCCCACTTCTCTAGATGCTTATCTCTGGAGATAACACTCTGGGGAAGTACCTGTCTCCCTTTATAACCAGTAAAGAGAGAGATGATTAAGCATCTCATCTTGAGGCAGCAAAGAGCAGGTGAGCTGTAAAAAACCATAAAAAGCAGGTGAGCTGTGAGCTGTAGGGGTTTCAATGGATGTTAACTCAATGCCTAGTGTGTCACCCCTCCTTATTCACTATTCAGTACTTTAATCCCTTTCCTCCCTTGACTTAGGCAGAAGCAAAACATGAGGCTGAAATTGTCCATTTGAGCCCAGTTGCTGTAAGGTGAGGAGGGACCTGTAAAGGGCTAGAGACAGGATGTGCCTTGCCTGGTTACACCCCAAGTTATTTGCAGTTCCTCCCCTTCTCTCCCCACTACTGAAGAAGTGAGAATAGCTTTTCTGCATCTGCTACTGTAATTTTCTTTCAGGACAAGGTATGAATGCTACAGACAACCCTGCTCAAATTGATAAATTTCTCCCCATGTCTGGCAAACTTAAATAGAACATAAGGTTTGATCAGATATAGACTCAAGCACATGCACAATGTATGAAGGCATGAAAAAATACCCAACAGTTGCCAATAATTTCCAGGCAATCTGGATTTATAGAATTCTATACATAAGCTATATGTGTGTCTGGCTGATAAATCTAAATATATAACAAGTCTTTTCCTCCAGTCAAGGTTTCTTCATGGCTACTGGGAAGCAGGATGGCTTTAAACTAATTTTGAAGGTGGAAGGGGATGAAGCCAGGCTCAATGGAGCCAAGCCTGAGGGTAGCACATTGGTTCTTGAAGGGTGCTGAGATAGTGAGGTCCTTTGGTCTGCTGTCCCAGAGGAAGTAAGAGGTAGGAATCCAGGCAGCAGCGGAGATACAAGGTGTTTTGATGAGGTAGGAACCACAAAGGCTCCCAAAAATCATCACAGGGGAATTAGGTGATGGGACCAGCAGCCCAGCTAAAGTGCATCTACGCAAATGCACACAGCATGGGCAAAAAACAGGAGGAGCTGGTAGCCAACATGCAGCAGGAAAACTATGATAAAGCAGCCATCACAGAAACGTGGTGGGATTCCTCATATGACTGGAATGCTGCAATGGACAGCTACAAACTCTTCAGAGGGATAGGCAAGGAAGAAGAAGAAGAGGAGGAGGGGTAGCCCTTTATGTTAAAGAGTTTTGATTGCCTGGAGGTTAATGATGGTGATGACAAGGTTGAGTGTTTGTGTGTAAAAATCAGGGGGAAGGCCAGCAAGGCAGATATCATGGTGGGAGTCTGCTATAGACCACCCAACCAAGATGAGGAGGTAGATGAAATATTCTACAAGCAGCTAGGGGATGTCTTGGGATCACGGGCCCTTGTTCTTGTGGGGAACTTCAACTTGCCAGATTTCTGCTGGAAATACAGAGAGGGAGGTAATGTGGGAGGTTCCTGGAGTGTGTGGAAAACAACTTCCTAACACAGCTGTTGAGGGAAATGACCAGGGAAGGTGCCCCACTGGACCTGTTATTCACTAACAGAGAAGGGCTGGTGGGTGAAGTGCTGGTTGGAGGCTGTCTTGGGCACAGTGATCATGAAATGATAAGAGTTTTCTGTTCTTGGAGAAGTCAGGAGAGGGGTCAGCAAGTCTGCCACCTTGGTTGGGCTGTTCAGGAATCTGGTTGGGAGAGTCCCTTAGGAGGCAGTCCTGAAGGGCAAAGGAGTCCAGGAAGGCTGGACACTCTTTAAGATGTCCTGGTTTTTAGCTAGAACAGAGCTGGGTTTCTTTTTAGTAGCTAGAATAGGGCTGCATTTTGCTCTACTGATTGAGCTAGCTGGGCAATACCTACAAACTAAAAGCGAGTTGTTTGGAGAAAAGTGGAAATAATCTGACTCCAGTAAAAGTAATTGGATGGGAATTCCTCCTGTACTCATGGTCATTGGAGGTTGATACTGTCAGATAAAAGACTACATCTCCCAGGGCTACTGTGGACATGCAACACTCATAATACATGGCTTCCCACTGCTTTGGAGGAAGGCTAGGGTACTTTTAGAGGAAGAGCACTCAATACAAATCCTTCAGTTCCTGTGGTCCTAGTAGGTATTCCTAGATAGCCACCCATTTTGAATAGCCACCATTATATATGGCCTGCTAGTGTGTCAAATCATGATGATAATTGAATTACTTTCTTTCTTTTTCAGAAGAAGATCCAATTTCTGACCCTTTTGTTCTTCCTGGCAACGGGGATCCTAGTTTTTCTGTGCTTGCCATCACTCTTCTTCCAGATAACAGAGGGCTGGTCCTACAGTGAAGGAATTTACTTTGCATTTATCACCCTCAGCACCATTGGCTTTGGCGATTATGTAGTAGGTAAGGCTGATTTAAGGGAGGAGACACAGCAGAGTGCTGGGGTTATGACTGTAATTACCATGGGTTGACTGCACAGGCCACCAGTGTACCATAGAGACAAATCTTCTGTCTGAGTCTTTGACTAGTCTTTGTCTTGTACAGTTCTGGGGGAAATACTCATTTCTCTGTGTTTTTATGTGCTGACAAAAGCACAAAATTGTCTAAATATAATGAAATGTGATGCTTTGGGGTGCAAAGAAGCCAAGTATTTTGGGGAAGGAAGGGAGAGTGTAGGGGGAGAATGCAAAGAGCTGAGGAATTTGCATATACCAAAAGGGAACAGTTTACAACAGTCATACAAAATAAGGCATGTATCCCTGTTTTGGCCATCTAAGAATTATGTTTCAAAGTGCAGAGTAAAGAAAAAAGTGGTCACATTTCAGAAGATATAATTTTACACACCAGATTGAAAGGTGGAAATCCCAATCATGGGAAAGTGGGGAAATGTACTCCCTCTAGGAGAAGTGGGGCTTAAACATCTATATCACTATGAAAGGGCCCTTCTTTAGTCTTCTATACATTACTGGAGGCTCTCTGCCTTCCCAAGCCAGAGCTTAGGATTTCCCCTGATGACAAACTATTTAAGCTACACTCTAGCATGCTGGAGTGCTTCTTGAAACACTTCCGTGGGTCTGCTGACAAAAATACATTCTCCATAGAATAAGCTTCCAGAACAAACCCAAAATGATCACCAGGAGCCAAACCAGTGTCCACAGAAGAAGCAATGAAACACCTGGACTCCATGGAGAATCAAAGATTTCTCTGCAGCAACCTGTCCTGCCAGCATCTTGCCAGCCTGAACTTCTCTTCTGTGGGGATATGAGAAGGAAGCTCTGAAGCTAATACTTGAGCACCAGTGCTGTCCCTACAGAGAATCTGGAAACATCACATCCCTTTCAAATGGACAGACATCCACTATACAACAAACCTTAGGCTCTCAAGCCTTGCAGAGGTGCGAGAGGAACCTTGGAGACTGTCTGGCAGCCTTGCTGTGTGTTTGAAAGATTTCTTACATCAGTCTAAGGACTTTGGCAGAGGGACCCCACAAGCTTTCCCAGACACTATCTGATGTTCTGTGCTGACCCTAATTTCTCTGAGTCTTTTAAAGAGGCTGGGTGGTGCTCAGATGATCTAGTTGACATTTTGCTTGTTTGCAAGAGTTTAGTGACCGTAATGATCTTGTAGCCTACCTGATGGTTAATTACTGCATAGCAATGGGTTATTAGTCCAGATTTTCTCAAGTGATCACAGCCAGCTAACTGCTCCCTCTTGCCACAGAGCACAGGAAACCAGTGTCCCCTGAAATTCCCTTTTTCACATAATCCAAAGAAAGATTCTTTGTCCCCAACAGTGGTTAGGCAGTATTGCCATGAACACGACATAGAACTGGGGCATCAGCAAGGCATCTGTATCACACAAGAGTGACCTCTTTGCTCACTGTTTTCTCCTGTTAGGGCCAATCTTTGTCACTGCAGTGAAGGACAATAGGGCACAGGCATATCCTTCCTAACCATCTGTAGGACTGATAAATCTGGCCTGGGTGATACTAAGCACCTTGAACTTCAGTGGTGTGGAATACAGGAAGGTGAAGAGCGGCTGATGCCATGCAGGAGAAAAAAGTGGGCATCAAACTGGTGCATCCTCCTCCCTTGTCCAAATTACACGTGCTTTACAGTAACAGCAGCAAGTCACAGCCCAAAAACCACTACCTCCATAGCACTTTTCTCCTCTGCACCATGTTATTTTACAAATACACTTTAAAAATAGAAATTAGATAGACCTCCTGGATCTGTGATTTCATCTTCATTAGAATGACTTAACTGGAGCTAAAATATTTTTCCCTGCAGTATTTATCTCAATTGACCTTAAACACTGGCAATAAAATGATGATAAGTTTAATGCCTCACACCTTTACAATGAAACAAGCAGAATCAATGACTGCTCTGAGTATTAAGCATTTAGAGTTGATTACAGATGAAAAATGGATTTGTGTTGGCCAAGTGGTACAGAACAGATTTGAGTTAATTTGCATTTTAGTATTGCAAAACTGGTTTGTAGCTGTTGTACTTCAAGCATGAGATAAAGCCAGTTTTGGGTAGGGAGACATCCTAGGAAGATGGCAGAGTCTGGATTTAGCTGATTGTAATACAGGTACACATAGATAATACTTCTAGTGTGAAATTCCCCTTGGGCTATAAATAGAATTTATGCCTTGCTGAAATTCAGTTTTGAGTTAACATTATCAAAGATATTACTAGTTGCTTTGCTAACCCCATATCGTGAACTTGAGATAAAAGCACAAAAGAAGCAAGGCTGGCATCCCCTCTGCCAACTCAAGTCCAGCAGAAGAAAACAAAACAGGTGTTGGATATCTATCTATGAGGACAAATCAGCCCACTCCTGCCCCATTTTCAAAACTCTTGCATTGTGAAGTACAGAAATCCTGCACATTGATCTACGTGGTACAGAGCACTGCAGGACTTTTTAATTGTCAGCATCCTGGCTCCTTCTGGGCAGCTTCACAATGGGAAATGATTGAAGAGGTTTGGGGTGATCTCCCTGTCCATACACATGGCTGTGTCATCTTCCATGCAGAATCACCCTTGACAGTGACTTACAGCACTCAATTAGCAATATCAGTGAGTTTTCCTGCAGATGCCACGGCCACATCAGCTGTATCACGATGACAACATTGCGTGGGACTAAATGCAGTAGGAGCAAATGGTCTCTGCATGTTGGTGCTGGATTGCTGACATCTGAGGAAACAAATGAAATGACCCATGCAGAAAAGCAGGTGCATTATATTGGTTGATGCTAAGAAGTTTGGACTGCATGAAATAAGCTTTGGTCCACTGATTTCCAACCCAGAAAGTTATATTCCTGGCAAGTGTCAGTGAGTTCTCATCAGTCACCTAGTTTTTTAAGAGGAAGCTCCTGAAGCCATTCAAAAGTAAAGTAGGAATTGCACCTGCTCTCTTTGTATGACCAATAGTACCTGTAATTTAAAGGAAATATTTATTAGGTTATAATCACACTTTATAGAAATATACAGAATTATAATAATTTAGGTAGTAACAGTTGTGTGGTTCTAATAGCCCACTGTGCTCTGCTTTTTGTGCTTTGGGAGTTTGGGAATATTTTCAGGATAATACAATGCAATTTTACGCTACTTCCACATCATTGCATTTACCTGTAGATGCAGAGGTTGAATTGGGATTGGTATGCTGTAAAGGGAACAAAATATCCCACTCTGCTGCTAATTCACCTCAATCACAGTATATCTTTTTGACAGGCCAGCATGTTTGTGCTAGGGTATATCAGTTTATTGCAACAACAAGAGACTTGCCCAGCTTTAATCTAATGCTGGGGAGGTGAGAGGCTCCACTGCAATGAAAAACTCACCTTAAAGTACTCAATGTAAAATACTTTGATGAATCCATTAGGCTGTCCCATTTTACACAGGCAAAGCAATTTTAACTTGTTAATTTTCTTCTTCTTTCTCTCCCCTTATCTGCAGGTAAACAGCCTGGCAGGAACTACTTTTCCTACTACCGAACGCTGGTGGCCACTTGGATTCTCTTTGGCCTTGCCTGGATTGCTCTCCTATTTAATTTATTGACAACAGTGCTAGAAGATACTGAAAAAATAATTGTCAAGGATCTCCATCAAATTGTAAAGGTGAGTAAGGACAATGAAGCAAGCCAACAAAGAAGATGCTGGCCTGCTCAATTTATTCCAGAAGAAGAACTACTACCACCACATGCTGGAGGGGATGCACAGAAAATTGAGTCATTAGCAGCAGATTCTGAACATACAAAAAATGAAAAAACAGTTTTTTCTTATAGCAAAAGTATTGAGACATATGAGACATAAGATAATTGAATTCTTCATTGGAGAGTTGCTAGTGAATTACTCTAAAGAAGTTCACATGGAAATAAAATTTCTCCTAACTTTTGCTGAGGTATGATCTTTCAGAACTCAAGACTTACAGTTACACAAAGCCCGAATATTCATGGTAAGAAATTTGCTCCTCAATTTGCAGCTAGGTTGGGCTAACAACCTGAGAAGTGCACTTGCTTTGCAAGGTGTTTTTAAGGTGCTTCCAGAAGAATGCAGAGGACAGCATGGTAGAGCTTGCTGCTTCTATTTGGGTTTTGCTGCTTGCAAGAAATCATGTCTCTTCCAGGAACCAACATGCACAAGCTTTTCTGAGGCATTACATAGCATCTTTGGGAGAAGAAATAAGGGTATATAACTGAATAGATGCCTGATTTGAGCCATCATATTGGATAAGCTATTATGATCTGAAAGACATGTGTAAAGGACAAGACCTGGGCTCAGTTCAGAGACACTAGAAGGATCTAATGGACATGGTTAGAAAAAAGTTAGCATGATAAGAAATTCTTCATTCTACCTCTTCCTATTTTATACTAAAATGAATAAAGGCCGTTTCACCTTTTATCCCTGTGGCTTTGAAAAACCTTTCTGCTAGTGTTCAGAAAGAGCGTACAAATTCATGTCTTTAATTCAAATTTTATAATAACTTTATTCTATAAACATTTTATATGAGCAGAGACTAGTTTGGATGGAGGAGTCCTCACTGCATCAGAGCCTGGCTGCTATGTTTGCATTTTATAGTAGCTATAAAGTACTTTGAAAATTATTCTCTTGTGCTGTGCTAAGGTAGCTTTCCAAGTGCAAGTGTTGTCTAAACAGTGTGGTCTTACCTTCAACCAGGTAAAAAAAGGATCTTAAATCTGGACATGGTGTTTCAGATGTCCCACCTGGCATGCAGACCATCCCTGGGTGAAGACCCTGGCCTTTAAAGGCTCAATCTACGCATCAAGTGCCTTGTGTGTGTCAAGAGTGCACAAAAACCTGACCTGAAGTGCTGACAAAGCAGCTGTGGTAGACACAGTCTCAGAGATGAAAAGTCCCATGGGTGTGTATGGTTACACCAGAAGTCAGTCTAGTCCAACATCCTGTCTCTGACCATAGACACAAGAGTATGCCTCCAAATAGTGTAAGAATGAACCAACTTTGCCATGCTCCCATGCTGGGTGCAATACCTCTTCCAGTAGTTGGTAGCTCAAAGGCTGCCCAAACAAGAGGTGGGGTCTCTGTACTTCAAAGCCCATGAACTTGACCAAATGCTGAACTCTCATCAGCACCCTCAGGACCCACCTAAGGCAGTCGATAGGTTCAGTACACGAAGTGCCTCCCTTTGGCAGTGTTGAACGTGTTGCTTGACAGGTTTTTGTGATATCCTTAAGTTCCTGTTTTATCAGACAGTGGATAGTTGTTCTTGGGCTCACCCTCTGGGTGTTAGTTACAGCAAGACCAGCCCTTGCCAGAGCTATTCCTGTATGAAAGGGAAAATTAATTACAGCTATAAAGCAATTTTAGGCCATAAAGATGCAATCACCCTTGAAGTTGAATTCATAACTATTTCAGTCAAACAAAACCACACTTCTTTCCAAAACAGCTCTGCTGGTTCAAGACCTGGCATGTAGACCTGACCAAATATGTACTTTCTTTCCCTCCCCACATTATTTTCCAGTGTTGTCCTCAAGGCTGTCTTCTCACCTAATACATCTCACTCTCAATAAACTTTTCTGAGGCAGCAGGAACAAGAACTGACCAAAATCAGGGTAAGGTGGCCAGGGGTATCATAGGACACAGTGATCTGTGTGCAAGCCATGTCCCTGTTGCTACCACAAGGTGATACCATAGCTAGGCAGAGAAAGACACTGGATGCTCCTGGGAAGGGATCTCTTCACCTCTCTGTGTTCCCCTCTCACCAAACATTGACTCACATTATTATTATTTTCCAGGCATCATTTTTTCTCTTCTGTATGTTCCCAGTCCTTCCTATAAGGACCATTAACCTCATCCCCAACCTAATAGAGGTACTGTCAGGGCTGTTTTAGGGAGAGATGGTCTTGCCTTGGCGTGAGATTGCCAATTTGCACAGCATCTCGTAGTTCCATCCAGGTCAGTTCCTGATGTTTGATGCTCCCAGCCCCAAGGTGGCCTCTGGGCCAGCACAAAACACGTCTACTTGCTTTTTCTACTGCTGGGGAGAAAGAAGAGCCTTCAAAGAACATCTTGAAGTCAACACACCTCTGAAGGGATTTCTTCAACTTGTTCTGCTGTCCCATTTGCTCCCTGTCATGATAAATAACATAACCCAGCCCTGAAACAAGCTGGTAGCATCCCATTGCAACACAAAGTAATTGAGGACTCTCACCACACCCAGCAAGCACGAGAGCCAGGCAGTGGCTCCTTGAGCAGAATAGGACAAACTCTCTGTCCTTCACACTGGTGGGTGTTTAACAACGGGCCATGAAAACCAAACGCTTCCCATGTGCAGAAGTTAGTCTGCTCCATGCAGCTATTGTCACAGGGTGCAGGCAAGTCACCTTTTAATTCATCCCTTCTCGCCACACTCCCCCGGTAAGGATGTGCCCCTCCAGACAAGGCACAGAGGGACTGAACAACTCACCCAGGGCCAGGGGATGTGGGAAACGTGAGCTGGGAACCACCATCACGGGGCTGTCCTCCTTCAGGCACCAAGAACTGAGGTGTCCCTTCAGCTGTAGATGCCAGCCTGGGAACAGAGAAAACACATCCACAAGCATAAAGAACATAGAAGCTCTCGGGAGAAATTGAGGTAACTGCTCTAAGAAAGAAGACTAGCCATTCCTAAAGCTTCATACCCCCAGGGAGGCCTTTTGAAGAAGGGTCTCAGCTTTGTTTCTCATGCCCTCTCGTGGCTGTGCGCAGCAGACCCTCTCCCTTTGCATTTCTACCAGCTTTACTCCATCTCCTCCAGTGCAATTCAGCTGATGTAGCTGGTACAGCCCTGAGCAGTGCAAGTGCCAGGGCAGCAGCTTTGTCAGTGTGATCCAGAGGAAGCCATCCTGCAGTTCATAGGAGCTTGGTAAGGGCTGAACCATGTCTCATTCTCAAGGAAGAGATGGGCACCTCAAACTTGTCCAGCCAGCGATCCTGCCTTGTGCCACAACAGCTTTGCGGAGGTCAGCTGGGGATGCGACAGCTTTCTGTCATCATGTGAAGGACCCTCACTGGCACTCATGGTGCTGATGACAGGATATGCTTCTTTCTATGTGCCCCATGCACCAGCTTCCCCTGCGTAAGGTCTGTGTAAGGCGAACATCCACACTCTATGTTCCACAGGAAAAAGGGATTGGTCCAGCAAAAATCTGCAAAAGGGCAGATTTGGGTCCAGGCTTTGGGGCCAGGATGAGCTGGCCCACTCTGCAGCAGCCTCCAGGGCAGACAGTGCCTCAGGTGGCAAAAGTGGTGGAGATAGAAGCTGCAGATATGTGGAAGAAAAAAAACAGCACCAGAGGGTGTGTGGTCTTCTACACTGGGAAAGGCAAGGGAAAAGCCCAGGAAAGCTGCAAGCCAGGGTGGGAGAGGAACACTTTTGGATGTGATATTGTTCCTGATGCTTACAGTGAACAATAAAGCTGTCTCCAGAAGGGTTTAGGCACAGTAACAAATCGCTCCAGGGCTGGACCAAGCAGCCTCTTCCAGCATTATCATCCTCTGAGCACCACACAGCCACTGCAGATCTTGTCCTCGCATCACCCCTGAAAGGGGAAGCTGTCGCTTTTTGTGCAGATAGTAGGGGCCCTAGAGAAAAAATTAAGTGTATCACCTGAGCTCATCCATGAGATGTTTGGCAAACACCTGGTTTGTTGCTCTCTGAACCAGGGCCAGGTGTCCTGGTATTTTTTACTAATAAATTAGACACAGTTAGTGGTTCTGTAGTCACTGAGGTTAAAAAAAAATAACCTCAAATTGATAGCAAAGTTAGAACAGAGCTTCTCCTCCACAGCTGGGGATTTAAAATGATCCCAAGACTTAATTAATGAACGTAAGCCAGGCTCTGGCTTTTCTTCTGCACGTTCCCCTTGCCCAAGGGACAGAAAACAGGAAGAAAATCCATTCTGAAATCCCCGTTCTGCCGAGTGGCGAGGGAACAGCAATCCTCCTGAGATCAGGCGGAGGGGTTCTCCACCAGCAGATCTGCACAGCCTGGAGCCTTTCCCAGGAGCTGTTCAAAAGCCCTCGCTGTGACCCAGTCCCACTGCGCTGCTCAGGGAAATCCAATTTTCACGAAGCAGCCTCCTGTGCAACTGCCAGGTCTCCCACTGCGGCTTGTTTTCAAATGGGAAATATTTCCAAGGGAAGCCAAATACTTTCCCATATATTAAACCAGTTGTTAAAAAACATCAGGACTATGATCATGAAATATATTATCTTGGATTAAATGGCAGCAGCGTGTTCCTGCATTCAGTCTGGGCTGCTCCTCATACATCACCCACGTCTTTGCTGCCAGCTAGCAAACAGTGTGCGTTTCTGCACTTGAAACCAAGGAAATGCCATGAGGTATTATCTTTCCCTCAGAAAGAAGCCCCTCAGAAATTCAATTGCCTCCAGAATAGGAGAAACTGCGCTTTGATCTGTCTTTAATTAGTATATGGGATTCTTTAGGAATCTTCTGAGGTCTCCTTCAATTAATAGCCAGTTCATTTGAAGAGATTAGGTTTTTTTTCCAGAAGCAGAGAGACTACTCAAAGCAGTGGAACAGCTTGGCTAATGTAACATCATATAGCCAGTGGGATAATTTTTTTACAGAAATTACTAAACGTGGGCCACACACATGCTATTTTCAACTGTCATACTTGGACATGTGCTTTCTCGCCTGACTCATGACCAAAAGGCACTGGATCCAGCTCAGAACTGGTTTAACAAACATAACTAATCACTCTCCAAAGGCCTGTTCTCCATCCCCCGCGATCGCACCTGAAGAAACAAAAAAACCCCAAAATTTGGTATCA